AACCAAAGGGCAAGGCCGGACATGCCTCCCTACCTAAGGTCATTGTCATGCTACAGCTGTCTGCAAAGGATAAGAAGGGGTTGTTGTAAGAACTCAGGTCATTAAGAAAGAGCAAAACATGCTCAGTCGCATCTGTTTAAGAAGACAGGGATTTGCAGAGTACACTTTGGATACATTCCATCAAAAGTGTGGTCTTTTTAATATCTCTATTCTTATAAGGGCAGGTTTCCAGAGTCTGAAAAATCCCTTATGTGGAAACATTATGATTAGAATTATTTTTGTAATCACTAGAGTTTTGTAAGCTTCTCCCAATGGATTTCGAGCCCACTTCAATTCCTCTAAGGTGGGAACTGTATTGAGAAGCTTCTAATAGAGGCTTGCTCTGTCTTTTGAATCCCTTGAGGCCCTCCAGTCTTTTCCTCACTCTGTCTTTCCCCTCAGTGCCATGAATGGATGCTGTTGAGCTTTCTTTCCACATCTTGCATATAAGCTGCCTTTAAGGGAGACAGTAAGTTCATTGAATATATTTTTTTTCAAACACCCTCTGCTACCCTACAACCTCACTGCGATTCTGATCCAACCCTTTTGGTTACTAAATTCTGACCTAATGCAATGTACCGAGAATGAGCAGTAAGAAATAGTTATAATCTTTCAAGTGAGTTAAATGGATCTTTATTGCTCCTGGAATTCAGACTCCTCCCACTGCTTCCCATGTTATTGAAAAGAAGCAGTGTGTATGGTCTTCCCTTGCACAGTGTGCAATTACCTGTAGCGGAAACTGGAACCCTTGCTGCAGAGTAGTGTTTTGGGCTTTGATTTGGGCTCTTCGGAAAGCCTGAAGAAAGCGTGGTACTCCACACAAGTCTTCCAGAAAGCCTTGCACGCATCTCGGCTAGCCATGGTGAACTCCAAAGTGTCTTTGCACAACACCTGTATAAACCATTTTCTATCAAGCAAAATATCCTGCAAGAATACCAAAGACCTCCCAAACTCAATACCTTCTAAACCATCAGTCCAGCAGCCCATGCAGTGTCTGGTTTTCCCTTTGGATCCCCATAGGCTCCACAGTCACTGAAACCAAATGATTAGCAAACTCCCAAAGATCAGACACTGCCTCCACTCACACACTGAGCCTTGTCTGGGAAGCCAGGCTTGTTTTCCACATGCCCCTCACTTGTAATGCTTTTCTGCCTTGCCTCTTTGCTGCCAGAAACATTTTAGGAAGTCATAAATCAGGTTAAAATGAATACCAAAGGGCTTCTTTTCAAGGTGGCAAGAAGGTATAAATGACCACCAGGAAGAGGGAGGGGGAGATTTCATTCCCTCTGTAAGGATGATTGAATGCATACAAGTGTTTTCAATGTCCCAGGTAGAAATACACCTTCCTCTATATACTTTCTCATACTACAGCACTTTGTATTTCTCTCTTGGCGTAGTCCATATTTTAATGTATCCTAAGGGAACTTGGATTTCCAGTTCTAAAGTACAAGCTTTTCTCATCCTGAGTCACCATATATACCCATTGGCCCAAGGCTCTCTGGCATGCTCCCAGCCCTCTTTTCAACAGCCACACCAGCTCTCACAGGTCACTTCCCCCACCCCTCATTCCTCCCCAGGTTCCTGCATGTAGCCCCTGAGGCTCCCCACAAAGTTCACACTTAGTCTGGCCCCATGAACTATTCAAATGAACACCTTTACATAATACCAAGATCTAGGCTTTATAATCCAAAGTGGAGCTTCTCTGGGCCCAAGTTACTTGACACACACAGTTTTTGTTCCACTTTGTGGCCAGTCATTAAAATACCCTAACACCTTTTTTCTTACCCCATGCAGTGAAAAGTTGCCTATGAATGACTTATTTTGCTTATATGAACACCTACTTCTCATAGAATAAGCACGTAGTTGATGTTCAATAATATTTGCTTAAAAGAAGTAAGTGAAAATACTTTATAAAATATAAAAGAGAACATCAAATAATTATTTCTGTTGTTCTAGATCTGGTGGCCCCCATTTGACTCATCACTCATCAGATTCCTCAAAAATGGTATCCATGGAGACTTGTCTTTTATCCAGCTGCCTCGTTTTCCTATTGTATCATTTATTCTGAAGTGCAAATCAGATGTCATAGTGTTTTGCCTTTAGTTAAAGTGTCATCAAATCTCAGCTCCGTTTATATAGAGAACAAGAGGGGGCCCACCACCCCTCAGAGCCAAGCACCTTTCACCATTTATATTCAAACCATTTCTAGAGCAACGACAAAATGCCAAGTGAACAGAAATAGAATGTTTTAGAAACCTACTCACCAAAATATTAGCATGAAGTTTGATGAGAAAATGCTTTCTCTTAAAACTCAACTTGCGAATCTTAGCCCAGTTGAAAGTATTAATCTTTGTATTTCCCTATAATGAAACACATAGCTAGTTTTAGAACGTGTCTTCAGGAGTCAGATGATGCCACAGTACAAGTGTGATGGAAAGTACTCTCCCTGAATAAGATTCTCTGGGGCTAGCCCTTATCCAGAGAGAGCCCCGTGGAACTAAGCAGTGGCTGCCCTTAAACATTGCAGGCAGAACACAAGTTCCTCCACTAGGTAAGCAAGAAGGTGCAACATGGAGACTTTTAAGCCAGGACAGTGACACTGGAGCAGAATGGATTGCACTTCTGTGATCTCACCCCTCTTCCCCGTTTCCACATACAAGCACTAAAAGGAAAAGCCCATTTCTCCTGCTGCCTTATTTATTCAAACATCCCCAGTAGCTCCTCACTGGCCACATCATCAAATGTGGTTTGGATTTTGCTGTTCAACATACAGTCATCTCTCCTGCTGCTTGTTAGTTTAAACTTATATCTGTATGTGTACCTTCATTCCTGTGGCCTGCCCATTCTCCCCTGCCCCAAGTGCCTTCTGCATAATCAAACTTCTTACCAGTGCTGATGGCACACTCCCTTGAACATTCTGATGGCAGTCAACAGAGGCCATTTCTAGCTCCTCTGAAGAATTTTGGTTTTAAGCAGACCAGAAAAACAAAAATTCTTTAGAGGAGCTAGGGGGAGAATGGTGATAGAAGACAATGGCACCTTAAGTTGATTTTTAACTTGAAATATAAAATAACAAGAAAACAATGATGTGGTAAATAGCTACAGTTGCTGGCAGCACTCAACATTAATTCCCTACCAGCTGGCACTGGTCACTTCCCACGTAATGAGTAATAAGTAAGGGCACATCACAGTTTGGATCACCTAGGGTGGCTCTTAACCATCTGGAAAGTACTATACAACTTAAGGTTTTTGGATATCTAAATCTACAGTTTAAGAGTCCCTACAAGCCTCTTACTTTTATCACTTCACCATGCTGGCCTAATCTAAAGTGTCATGGCCTCAAAACCCAGACAGTACATTAATGACGGCACACAGAGGAAAGCACATTGTAGGGCTATTGTTTATGGACACCATTTACAAGCTCTGCTTCCCTTCTAGTAGGTGGTAAGACAAAGTCTTATAAACCCTCTGGGGAACAGATATTTAAGTGGAAGCCATGGTCACCACTCCCAGCACACTGAAGGGCACTCAAGGGGGAGGGTTGTTACCCGCAACACCAGTACTCCCATGTTAGGAACAGCCAGGTGAATCTGCATCCCTTCACCATCACTGGCAGGCTGAGGTCTGATGCCATACATATCCAGCTTCCTTGCTATGTCCAGTAGCAGAATGTCTGATTCTGCTGGGCTCCGGCCACTGCAACAGGAAAGGATTAATGAGCCCAGCCCAATAAATGCAGCAAAACTCACCCTGCAACCCCTTTCTTCTGAGAGATGTCGGAGGAGTTGAGTGCTTTCCTGAGACTGAAGCTTCTCAGACTTAAAGGCTTGCCTTAAACATGTTTTCCTAGCTTCAGTGTCCTCCACTGGGAAAGCCGGTGTCCGGGGAAGTACTTACATGTGCTGCTGATGAAACTGCATGATCTTGCTCTCCAAACAGTCTTGGCTTGGTAAATACCGGGTTTGTCCCAGATGCTTCCTAACTGCTTCTCCATGAAAGTCTCCTAATTCTGCTGTACAATAGAAAAGTGACATTGTTCCCATTTCCATTGAGGAATTAAACAATGTGCAGCCTAAGAATCCTCCCGTTCACCCCCAAAAGCCTTTTCTCTGCAGCTGCTGTAGCCCAATCCCATCCAACCCCATGCTTTATGAATATTTCTGTTTGTACAGGGGAAAACTAACAGACTAGTTGTCACATCACAGGCATAGGTTTTTTGTGAAGTCTCAGCCTGTATCTTGGGCTGCACACCCAGAACAGACATTAAAAGCTCCAAATTCACACTTGAATATTTTGTTAGCTTTTCCATCCTCTATTCTCTTTTTGTAGTATTTGCCTACTTTCAATTAGCCCCTGTTACAGACTGAAATTTGTCTTTCCCAGATTTGTAAGTTGAAGTCATGTCCCCTAGTGGCTTGACTTCATTGAGGAATTATGCTGATACTGAGAACATAAGCGGATAACTGTAGTCCAACCTAACTAGTATCCATTTGAAAGGAAGAAAGCCAGGCATGCAGGGGAATTCTAGGGATGAGTGCACAGAACAAAAAGTGTAAGGAGACAGTAAGAAGACTTCCTTCTCAAGCTGATAAAAGAGGGTCAAATGTAGCAAACCTTCCAACACCTTCATCTTAGACTCCCAGCCTCTAGGATGGTGAGGAATCATTTTTCTCATTTAAACCACCTAGTTAGTCTCTGGCATTTTCCTATGAGAAACCTAGTAAAAGCTAATGCAGCCCCAATTTTCTTTCCATTGTGATTATCCATTATCATAAGCAGAGAATAAAATATCAACTAGAATGCCAGCAACCTACAGCCAAGTCATCACGCTGTACTCTGGGAATTTAGCAAATCCCCAACAATTTGAATCCCCAGTAGACAAATCATCCTTCCCAAATAGCTGGCAGTTTATCTGTGAACCTAATTTACTCTTTTACAGACATCTCCAGTTTATTGTTAGGGACAACTATTACAGGATTAACCCTGCACTAGCAGCTGCATCCTTACAATGTTTTGTTCCTACTGCAAAGGGCCTCAGACTTCTTTGACTTTTGTCTTCTTTGCAATTGTTCTGTGTCCAAGATTCACATGAGTTACCTTCTGATTATTTGTGTCTCTTAAAGTCAAAGTTTAGAACACCTTGTTCTCCGTTGTGACTTTTAATCTAAGGCAGCTGGGCAAGAACAGATATAACCACACCTGTTACTCAGATATGTTCCTTTTTTTGAGTTCTTAACTATCACATTTCTCCCTTGCATTTCTTCCCTCCACAGCCTCCCATGCATCCTTTCCTACTTTCCTTCAAACTCATGTGGAATCCTATGGTGCTCTCATGTTGAGTAAAATACATGTACAATGCTAAGAACACTATATAAATAAGGAGTTGATGGAACCATGTTCAACCTGATAAAAGTTATCTACGAAAATAACCTATGGCTAACAATATAGTCATATCACCGGGCAAGAGAATAAAGACTTCCCCTTAAAATCAGGAATAAGATAAAGATGCCTGCTTTGGTCCCATCACCCAGAATTGTACTTGTGAGCAAGGTAAGTGCAACCAGATAAGAAAAAGATATGTAAAAGTTTTAAAATGTAAACGAAAAGATAAAACTGTCTTCTGTAGATGTGAAGATCCAATATTTATAAAAGTCCAAGAAACCAATAAAGAACAGTGAAGCATAAATGAAAAGTCAAGAAATAAAGTCTCACAAATATTCTTGGCAAAGGTGTCAAGATAATGCAAAGAAAAAATAAAAATCTTTTCAATGAATTGTTCAAGAACAAATGGAAACCCATGTGAAAAATACTATGATACAAAGCATTTACAGTCAAATCATCACTCTGAACATTGGGAATCTAGTAAATACCCAGCAATTCTACCACAAAGCCTTCTTGATGATTCTAAACACCACAGCCATATCCTCCCCTCTGGCCTCTTTCACGGTGTTCCTGATGTGTGGACCTTTCTGTCACTGGACTTGGCCCCTTGGCTTACTTTTGTGCCTCCTACAAACCTTCATTGAACTGTCACCTTTACAGTAGGCTTAGCCCCCACTTTATTAAAAAAACCCAGTACCCTCACCTAGAACTCCCCCATCTCCCTTCTATGCTCTATTTTTCTCCATTGCTCTCATGACCTCTGAACATTCATCATTTTTTTTCTTATTTTGGTCATTGTCTGACTCTCTTGCACTGCCAAAATGTGAGCTCCATGAAGAAAAGGATTGGTGTTGTAGCTCACTGCTGTGCTCTCAATGCCTATGATAGGGCCTAACAAGGTGGTACTCACTCCATAGTTTTTGTTGTTTAATGAATGACAAAACAGGATTATACTTCAGGTTTTTAAGAAGAAAGATTCATTTGAATTATGCAAATTATGTTTGGTAGGGACTATCTGGCTAGTGGTGCATAAAAATGGTTTAAATAATAAAATGCCAAGTCAGAATGCTCAGGTTCTTGAATGTCTAACCTGCAGCAGGCACTCAGCAAATATTGGACCGGTGAGTAAATGGACAATAAATGAGTAATTGGGCTGTGATTCTGTGCATGACCTTGATGCTGGGATTGACTGTGAAATGTTCACTCACTAGAGCCACAGCCTTTTCTCCACAAAATGAATGGGTCTTGACCACAGACCTTCTGGAAAACCTGAAGTATTCTGGCTCTTTCCTGAAATGGCCACTAGGCAATGCCCAACTCCCAATGCCCAATGCAGTACTGTTATCTCCCAAAAGAGGTCACCTGGAGCCCTACCCTCTCAACTGCTATCTGAAGAGGTAACTAATGGAGAAGGATTCTCCTTCTACCCCATGCCTCCAATGATACTGGGCACATGGCTCCTGCTCTTGGCACTCAAGACCTTTCAAGAGGATGCTTCATTTGTCACCATATCTCCTAGATAGAAACTATTCGTGAAACTGGGCGTTGGTGGTGCACGCCTTTAATCCCAGCACTCGGGAGGCAGAGGCAGGCGAATCTCTGTGAGTTCGAGGTCAGCCTGGTCTCCAGAGTGAGTGCCAGGACAGGCTCCAAAACTACACAGAGAAACTCTGTCTCAAAACAACAACAAAAAAGAAAAAAGAAAAAAAAAGGAAAAAAGAAACTATTCGTGAGTTATGTGTGGTCATTCTTCATCCCCTGTACGTGATGTCCCACCAGCATTTTTATGTTGTTTTCTCTACCCGTCTTCACATTCAATTCCCATAGATTTCTTTAAGCTCCAGTACAAACTCCATCTCCTCTATCAGCTTTCCTTGACTTTCATGGCGTTCTCCATCTATGGCCTTTCTGGGAGTTCAGAGCTCTCTTTTCCCAGCTGGGAGTCACTTGATACACTGCCTAGGATGCAGTCCCTATCTAAGCATTTCAGTGTGTTGTTCTCAGAAAAATCTGAAATCTACCATTTAAGGACTGGTGGGAAGATAATGAACAAAGGTCAGAAATGAACTTATGAAATAAACAAAAAAAAAACCCTGAAATTATGGTTCTGCAGGATTATCAAGGAACAGTGTATTCTTGGGAGGCCATTTCAAAACAGAGAAAGTCCAGCTGGACTTTGAAGAGATGTTATCTCCCCCTGCCTAGACCCTACCCTCCAGGCTGTAGGAACAGCATGGCCTGGCCTGATTAACACCCTCCCAGGCAGGCCCCCACTGTTTCCCACCCCTCCTCAAGTGTACCTTCTGT